ACCAGGTTGGTCTGACAGGACCTGCCACTGATGAACCCGTGTTGGTTGCCCCTAAGCATGCAGTCCCCTGCTGGCCCCTCATGAATGTGTGCCAGCATAATTTTCTCAAACAGCTTGCCTAGAATTGAAGTAAGACTAACTGGCCGATAGTTTCCCGGGTCCTCCTTCTTCCCCTTTTTGAAGATGGGAACCACGTTGGCCCTATTCCAGCCCTCTGGCACCACACCAGAGCACCACGAGTGCTCGTAAAGCTGTGCCAGGGGTCCTGCAATGACCTCAGCCAATTCCTTTAGTACTCTAGGGTGGAGATTGTCCGGACCAGCTGACTTGAATACATCCAGTCCCTCCAGAAGCTCCCTAACTAGTTCCTCACTCACCTTTATCTCTGGGCCCCAGCCTGCACTAGGAGTGCATGAAGTTCAAAGGTTATCCAAACTTTCAGTGAGATGTAGTGTCTCCATTCTGCTCCTTGGGCTGGCATTTGTTGGCATGTCTATCACCATAATGTCTAAGCTGTGTGTATTCCAGCCATCACTGGCATTCCCACCACCCCAGCTGTGGATTTATGCCCTTCACATAGTCTTTTCTAGTAGAACTGAGGAATACAGGAAAGATTAGTCCATCATAGGGCATAGTGCCCCTCCCTGACCTCGAAGCACAAAGAAGAGCATCACTCAGGCCTCCTGGGAAGTAGGCAGTGCTTCTCTCCATGCTTTCAGATGAGCAGCAGTTCGGTGGTTATAGGCACCAAGACACTGCAGCAGAATGAGCTAGGAACTCACTGCATGCTATGAGTCCTGGCTGAAAGGCCTGTTCAGGCCCTAAAGGAGTCATCAAGGACCCTCTCAGACATGGACTTCTTTAACTGTCCTGCTTGCTAGAGTGCCTTGATGATGTGAAGCATGAGTTTGACGTGCATTTATGCGACCTGAAATGGCTGGATGTTTTTCCAGAAGGAAAAATGAAGGCTCTTTTCTGCTTGGCCTTAAAGATTGGGCAGACACTTGACATGTCAGGAAATGGGATCTCTTCTCTGCTGACTTTGAGTCCAAGCAGAGGAAGAATGAGTAAGTCTCAGGGCCTCATCTCAATACCACGGTGGCAGTCCCAGGGCTTCTAACTCAAACCGAGTGCAGTGCCTGACCAGGAATTTCCCCTGGCATCCTTCACTTGCTAGGATTATTGGCAATCTCCTCCTGGATGCCAGCCCTGAAAACATCTTCCCTATCTCCTGTGCCTCTTCTGCTACAACCCAGATAAAAGAGGAATGGAGAGTCAAGGTTTGGCAGCACGAGTGACTAAGATTCTGGCATTGTTCCACCAAGACAGCCAACTTGCTGCGGGCAGCGGGTTCTGTACTAAAGATGGGATCGCACGAGGGCCTGTCCCTGCCTAGACATTAGTACAGTCTTATTCGGAAGTGACCTGTAGCCCGTGTGAGCTGGATTCTCCTGCACTCACTAGGGGTCTGTCTACACTGCAGTTAAGGTGCCAGCTTTAAATGAGCAAGCTCACATACTGACATAGGTAGGGTTTGAAGCCCCACCATCTCCACTGCAGTGGTGAGAGGAAAATCAAGTTCGAAATGCTTTTAGTTCAGCTATTCTTGTTTGGAAATGCATCAGTCCCCCCTCTCCATAGCTCCCCCTCACCCCACCTGGGCAGCCAAGGGGGCCACAGAAGGCCTCGGTTACACTTGCCTTTATTTTTTGAGGCCAGCTTCTCAGCTTCTCTGGGGGTCTTGAAGAGCACGGGCTCGCTAGCTGGGCTCTGGCCTTGGATGCTGATGGATTGGACATGCACGATGTACTCGGTGTCTTCCTCCAGGTCCCAGAGGGCACAGGAGCGCGTGGTGGTGTTCAGCTCCTGGATGAAGCGCATCATGCGCACGTCCTTCTTCTGCAAGCCCGAGGCAGGAAAGCCCGTGAGCTCAGGGGGAGGGCTCTGTCTCTGGGGCACGGCAGACCCCATGCTGCCTACGCCCTTTCCATTCTCCCTGGGAGTGACTGAGGGAAGCAGGGCCCCAGAGAGACAGGGCACAACTGAGAGTGACCTGAAGGGGATATTTCAGCCTGGCACCAAGCCCAACACAAGGCCAAGGCACCACCTCTAACTTAGTCCTGTCAGGAGTCTCAACCAGGCAAATTTAACCCCAGAAGAGTGAGACAGCAGGTCCCTCAGCCTGGTTTTTAGAGACAGGGTTTGCATGCAGGTCCTCACTGCTCTATTCCTAGAGGCACTCGTACACACTGGGCATAGCCATTGCTGAGGTCTGCTAGGGCTGGCAGGGCACAGTCGCTGCTTGGGGAAGAGGTGCCTGAGAACCGCGATGGTGCTGCAGGGTAATAGCCTGCTCCTGCCCTCACTGAAGGCAGCAGCAAAGCTCCCAGCACCTCCAGGCCCCACAGTTTTTCCCTTTCATGCCTCAAGCTGGTTTTCCTGCCACAAGACATAGCTGAGAGCTGGTGAACCAGCAGGATGAGGCCCGGGGTTGGAGAAGGGGAGGAGGTGTCCTGTTGTGCCTCGCACGGGGAGGGAGCTTCCTTCCTTAGGAAGACTTAGCTTTACTTGTAAGTGCACTTAATGTAAGTGCCAAGTGCTGGATCGGTCCCTGGAAGCTGAAGCCTTCTGCCTATTAATGACACCAATGTAGCATGAGCTACATGAGCCCAGGCAGCGCTCGCTTCTGAGACTCCATCCTGGTGATGTGCCCAGCCCCTGTCCTACAGGGATGGGGGAGTTCGGCTCCCCTGGTTTCCTGCTGGACATCCTAGTTAGAAGGGTGCTGCAGGTGTGGGATCCACTAAACCACCTTGCACAGGCATCTGGTGGTATTACCCTTATCTTGCTCCCTGCAGCCACCCTGTCCAAGATGCACTCCCAGGGAGATGAGATAAGGCAAGGAAAGAGAGCGATTCTGCGCCAGCTTCTTAAGGGCCTTGCAAGAGCTGCAGGCAAGGTGGTGGGCTTAAATCCAGAGGTTGCCCTTGTCTCTGCCAGCCCCTAAGCCCAGGGAAGTGGTGGGGTAGAGAAGAGGGGGGCCCAGCAGAGGTGAAACGGGGCAGCAATGATGAGGATACCTGCTGGGAGATTGCAAATCCAATGACGACTTCATCCTCCAGAACATCCCAGGTCACAACAGCTGAGTTGGCCTTCAGATGTTTGACTGTAACATTGACTGGAGCAGAGGGGCTATCTGCAAGGGCGAGAAAGCATAAGCTTTATCAGGAAAAAGGCATTGCTACAGGTGGGGAAGGGGCTAGCGAGAGGGAGAGGGCATTTGCCTTGCAGAGACAGATACAATCTCCTGCGGTAGGATTTAACCCCATTCACCCAGTGACCCTCAGAAAGGAGGAGTCTGTATATGGCTTTCATATGTGTGGCTGCAGGCCTGTGGAGCTCCACCCAAGCCCTGGGGAGGTCTCTAGCTTCTCCTCCCCACCTAGATGATTAGGATTGGCATTAAACCTGCCCGTGTGACATTTTTAACCCTTTGAGACTGTATGTGAAACCTCTCAGCCCCAGCGCACCATCCCATCCTCTCCTTCTCACACATGGCTCCCTGTCTCCTGCCTTGTCCCTGCTGCAGCGAGGCACGGGGCATACCCCACACCTCCTAGGATGAGAACTTTCCGCGGAGCTTTGGAAATGCTGGCACCCTCTTTAAAACTGCAGGTGCCATAAGCAGGGGCATGTTCACTTTATGTTGATCTTATTTTTATTCCTGCCTTGTGGCGAAACACAAACTCTCTGCCTGACCGTGCCACCAGGCCAAGAAGAAACAGTGATTTAGTAATTATTTATTATCTGTTAATTATGTATTAGCCCCTTTATTTTAATTGCACACGGCTGTGAGGCTGCTGGGCTGACTGGGGAGAGGCTGGTTGCTCAGAGAACTTCAAAGCAAAGGATTTCTTGAATATCCCTCCCCACTTACAGTGTGCTGTGAGGGCATCAGAGCACCACTGCATGGGGGACAAGGGGCTGTATGGAAGTACCAGAGGGGCTGTAGACCCCAAGTGAATGGAAGCCCTTGGGTGAGGACTCTCAGGTGCAGGGAGAGACAAGAGCTCAGAAAACCTCCAGTGTCTGGTGCTTCTTATTCACTAGCTGCAGGCAGTGAATTCCCAGTCCTGTTTTGAGGCTCCTAACTTCCTGAATCATATAGGGGCCTAGGCATCCACTTTTCATATGGATTCCACTCCAGGGACCAAAATATAAGGCAGTGCAGCAGCTGAAATAGGCAGCCCCCACTTCCAGGGGTCGAAATGCACCAAGATTAACAATCCTGCCTACAGCCTCCTGCCCCTTCAGAGACCCTGGTGCTACCGCAAGCCTCAGCCTTCTGCATCACTGCTTTGTAGCCAGCTCCAGCCCCTTGAGCGGAGCAGGAAACTGCCAGGCTCAAAGGGGAAAATCTGCAAGCGACTTCACTCCCAGTGAACGTCCTCAAGGAGAAAACAGGACTGGCAGCTTTCCAGCATGTGGCCAGTGTGTTTTTGAAACCTTGCTGTGTAGTGACCCCATGCCCCCATCCCAACAACACTGTTTCAAGCCATCAGAGTGGCCAGTGCCAGCAGATGTGATCATGCTTTAAAAGTATGAGAGAGGATGAGGCTGTGAGGAATGAGGGCTGGACAAGACTTTCAGGCCCAGGTGAACTGAGCCCACAGTCCTTAAGGGAGGAATGAAAGGCAACAGAAGAGTCCCTGGCCCAGATGGCTGCAATTGCAGAAGACTGGAGCAGTGATATAACTCAGGGCATTGGCTAATGATTGATCACTCAAAGCCTTTATAAAGGAAGAGCCTTTCACCTGATCCAGTCAGTCTCCACCATCTTTTTGGCAGCATATGTAAAATGAGTCAGAGGTCTCACTCCCCTTCCTGAAGGATGCCAAACACCCCCATCAACATTGTCACTAAGTCCCTCCCTGGCTGCCCCAGCAGAGAGGTCAAGAAAAGATGGACCAAGGGGTCAAAACTCCCTTCTGCTGCCCGGCACCAGTCCTACTCTGGCCTCAGTTGTTGGAGCACTACACTTGCTCTACTTGCTGGGGTACAAACAGAGGACTTTGATCTGCCCATCTGTACCTTCTGTCATTACCAAACCCACTTGAAAAGCCTACAGGCAAGACAGAGTAGGGTCTAATTTTAGTAAGGGGCAGTCAGCAGAGATTCATACAAGGACGTCTGTGAGTCATGTCTCCTGAATTTGCGAGAACATATGGAGGGCATGGCAGAGCTGAGAGATGGGAGGCCAGGCAGTCTCCAGCTGCAGCCCAACAGCCTTGCATCAAGCCGGGCATGCAGCGCTTCCTAAAGTACATCTGTACCGTTAAAGCCCAGCCTGCTGTGCTCTCCTGGAGGTTGTCGAGGGAAGTTGCTGCAGCACAGACTGATTTATGGAGGCTGGGATAGGGAAGGCTACTGAGTAAGGTGAATTATTGTTTTAGTAAGAGAAAGCAGTGTGTGTCAGTACAGGCACATCCAGAGATGGAGAGAGAGGTATACGTGGGTGGCACCTAGGCTGGCATCTGCATCTCTGTAGTTTAGCAGGGGCATTCATGACCTTGAGGAAAGCTTCTTGGCAAAAATGCCTCCATTTGCTATTGCCATAAAGTGAGGGGGAGTTGGGAAGAGACAGCAGGTACAGAGAAGCAGCACAAACACCTTCAACCCAAGTAGGTGAGACGAGACTGGGGCTGAGCGGTGGTAGGGAAGCGTGCTTAGGTTGCAGACCAGTCTGATTCACAGAGACTGGAACCAATACAGCAGGAGCCTCATAGGAGAGAAATCTGGTGAGGAAGAGGGTTGAGGATACTTCACTAAGCCTGCCTGCACAGGAGAGACCCAGAGAGGGAGATTCAGAATGAAGGGAAGATGCTCACCAGTCCAACACAATGGGTCTAAGCCTGCTCTCTCCTCACACCCCTGTAAATCAGGAGTCATTCCAAATCAGTAGTGTTGGACCAGCATAGCATGGGTGGGAGAGGAGAATCAGCCCCAGCCTTTGACAGAAATAGAAAGCAAGGGCTGCGAGTTCCCCATTCACAGAACTGAGCGAACAATTTGCAGCTATATATGTGTTCAGTAAATGTGGCCTCTTTGTCAGCTCCTGGAAGATCCGTGAACAGATTGTGGTTTCCTCCAATCTGTTCATCATCCAGATTTATCCCATGAACCTTTTAACTCTCAAGGGTCCATCCCAGTTCTTTGCAGTTCCAGTAGATTGTGGCTGGATAGATTGGATCCAGTTTCTGTCGCAGACTAAATTTGTCCTTTACGTTAAAAGAGGCTGACTGATGCACACCATACCAGCTATGAGTCCCATGGGCAGGTCAGTTGGTTATAGGTGGACATTTGGGGAAACAAAGGACCCCTCCCACCTGACTTCAAGGATCACCCTGGCCTATGCCCTATGCCTCTGGTTTCTGTTCCTCAGTGGGCTGAGAAGTCGGTGAGCATTTCCACCATGAACACACAGACACCCAAATCTAGCTGCCAGGTCCCTTTAACACTTGAGTGTGCAGCTCCAGAATCTGGCTTGCAGTACACACTGGTGCCAGTAAAGCTCAAACTGTTCCCAAAAGGGAGCACAGAAGGGGTGGTGTACATCCAAAGGGAGCTCGTTCCAACGCGCAGGCGGGGATCTGGGGAACGTTTTGTGCAGCCGGCACCTGGCCTTGTTCGCACACACTTCTTCCCCGTGCCCCAGCCGTGGTGCCTCAGACTTTTAGTCAATAATCAACCCGTGTGCTCCCGGGCTTGTGAATCAGCAGTTTAACTTCATTCCAGTCCAAGGGCTGTGACCCCATCAGAGCAAATTCTGCTGGGAAAACAGCACCGTCTCTGGTGGCATTTGGGTTTGATACGTACATGCACAGGAAAAATCATTCCTTTCTCTCTGCCCATGGTACTCACAGTCCCTTTTGTTCAGTGAGGTGGAAGTCACACCAATGATGACCAGGGAGCTGCTGCTTTGACAGAAGCCATGATTTCTCTCTTGTTTCCTTCCAACAGGGAGCTTTCACAGGGTGGACCCCAGCCCAGCAAGGTCTGGATGCTGCGTGTACCAGCCAGACCTCACTCCTCCAGGCCCTGGGCCTTTTCAGCAGGAGCAGGTCATAGCCTTTTCCATGCAGCAAGGAGGCAGAAGCAGTGAAGATTACCATTAATCCCTTCTTAATGCTGAGAACTCCTTCTAGCCTCTCATTAAATGCTCTGCTGATTATTAATGGCCTTTCTTTTTTTTTTTAAGAGAGAAAATGCTTTCCAGCTTTGGACTGATCAGTCCCTGGCTTTTCATCTTCCAAACAGCAGTTCCTGCCATCAAGAGCAGGAGGCCTGTGGGGTAGGAAACCTCCCGTTTTCCTGTTATGTTGATAGTCTCACAGGGGTTCATATTATAACACTTGCTGGCAGGTTTGTCAGCCCATGATCACCCAGTATCTCTCTTAGTGAGGGAGACTGAAAGCACAAATAATATGTAGAGTACTTTGTCTGATACCTGCCTGATTGATAGCCAGAGCTAGACTGCTGCCTCAACCTTACCTTTTAGGTAATACCTGCTCATATATACCCTTTAGTATTATCTGTGCCTAACAGCCAACCTATTCAGCTATTCACTACTGGTGCTAGAGCCAGTACCCTAATACAGTACCGTCCACTCCTAATAGCTTCTGTCTAGTAGACTTGATCTATATCCAACAGCCTCTGCATAGCTAATACTGTGTGTATATTTAATGCCATATGTAGTGTGCAGTATCTAATCTGTTCTTAGATCCTGTAGTTCCCTAATACTGTAAATATTCCTAATCCCCCATGTATAAGTGGTACAGTGAAGCTGATATAAGAGACCATCCTTGTTAGCTAACGTCTTGCCTTAAGACCATCTTAAACAAAAAGAGAGCAGTAGTGCTCCATTAGACTGATTTGTCCTGGTCCCCTGGGTGGCTGCTTGAAAAGGTACCTGACCCACGCAGTGCTCTAAGACCAGGATCCAGCTTGGGAAGCTGTGTCCAGACAGATCTATCTATTTCCCAGCTTGGCCACTACAGCAGGTTTCAGAGATATTCTTTATTCTCTCCTCTGCCTTGAGAAGAGAGATGCCTTTCATCAACTTCAGTTATCCCCCTAGGCCAGTTCCCTGAAAGCTTTCTCCTCTCAGTGTCCAATTCTTTTATCCCTGAGTCCTTA